ATTAACCCTTTCGCTGCGGAACGCCTAAAAATGAATTGCTCTCTCAGCAGCCGGCGCGATAGTAGATTGTCTGTACGAACGACACGATACGCGCGACGCTCGTAAGACGGTGTGTGAAACCGATTTTGCTGGTCTTTTCTTTGAGACGACTGGCCGACACGGCAGCCAAACAATAATAGTAATAATAATGATAATAACAATTTTAGTAATTTTTAATAATCTTAAATAATATAGACAATTAATATAATATATTATAACAAAATTTAATAATCGAGCGCCAGAGAAGGCGCTGTTCGCTGAGAGAAAGTGTCTATAGCCGAGCGCCAAAAGGTGCTGTTCGTAGCGAAAGGGTTAATGGAAAAGCCGCTGCTTTTTTTGCCGACTGCCCTGAGTTTCTATAAAAGCGAGCCGCGAGGCTCGAAGAATCGTGTCCGAGTGTCTGGCGATTAGCGCTTTCAATTCCGAACTCCGGGCCTTCTAGGGAGAATTTACTGTATTAGCATACTATAATTTCGCGAAAAAAACGGGTACGATAATCTACCTGGCTTAACAGACAATTTCGCGACCGTTTGATGTTGCAATGTGTTAGACTAAAGGAGGAATGATCTATTAATCGATTATACAGTTAAATAACTTACCAAACGCCGCGAACGATAACATAAAAAGAGTCAGAACACCGAAGTACATGATTGAGAGTCTTTCTGTTCTCATTGAGCGTTACGTTTAATTATATACACCACGTCCGGCAATTGAGCGTTTATATACTGTCTGAATGATTAGACTACCATGTGGAGTATGCGTGGCTAATCTCGATATCGCCGGAAGTATATTAATTACTTACCAAGAGTACCTCCAAAAATATAACCGTGATACAATCTAAAGTGTATAACGTGATTTTTAATCGCGTCATGGCGCGCAACAGTTTCAAATTCACGCGTCACCGTATCCCAAAAGCTTCGAAGATCTTTTGTATACCATAGAATAAAAATCATTTACTTTTCCTAAAAAATGATCCGTCTTTGTTAATTATAAAAATTTTCGTCGCGACTTACTTCTACGCCATGTAATATACATATGTATGTATAATATCTCTAATTTCACACCATTGCACCCTAGAACTTCGATGATGTTTTACACGCTATAAAATCACTCATATTTTACTTTGCATAACATGATTCGTGGATCCTGTATTCTACAAAAATTATCGCGCGTTTCTGAATAGAGAGATAGACATAAATTACGCGAATGATAATGATTAGCATAATACATTATTGTCTAAAATGGTGGTCGAAGGCCCAAGGGAATATAATGACGTCGAGCGCGAAAGTTCGCGTGCTGTTGGCAATACTCTCGATATCCTTGCATAATCGTGGGAAAGAATGATTTAAACCTATTTATTTCGCATGATTCGCGCCGTCCGATCCTGTTGCGGACGCGGTGGTTGTTAAATTAATGATCTATTTGGCCCGCATTGTTGATAGACGCATTGACGGTAAATTGGCGGTACGAACGTACGTGGGAAAGCGCGCGACAGGTATTCGTAGGATGCTGTTAATTTACATGTCAATTGCGAAAGGTGTTTGACTGTAAGATGGCGGAACGCTCGGGTAAATGCGTGTTAACGGTGCCGATGTAATAACAGCTGCGCGGTTAAATTGACACAAGAGGTGGTGTTTATTTAAGAAGAATATGATTCGTTCTTTTCACCTGTGATTTGTGAAAAGCAAGGGAGATTAATATGAATAAGAAAGATTGGATGAAGAACGATATAACTTGTTCGAGCATAGCTTCTGGCCAGAAAATAAAGACAATTTTCAATTTTCATTGCGTTTTTAGCAAAATTTATTATTATTTAGAATGTATGGAATAGATCAATAATTAATAACCACGTATTCCGCACAGTCTTAAAGAACCACGAAACATGTAGAAAATTGTGAGTAGTCTTTATTTTCTGATCAAGACTTGTAAGAAATATCAGAAATGTGCAGATAACTATGTAATTGGTCAATAATTATGGAAAAATATCCACAATGAAAAAAAAAATCCAATTATACATAGCTTTTTAGGGTATTGTACTCTTTTAAGAAATTAAAACATATAAATAATAGGGGGTAAGTGGTACTTTTTACATAATATGTCTTCTAGGGATGATGATTTTGTCACTATTACATGGATATAATACAATTGATCGATCATTGTTATAAATATTATAGTTCGAATTGTCACTTAATGAGAGGCTGATGGATTCATTTCGCACCCTTATTATTTCCCTGAACGCATCTAGCAAGTGCACGGTGAAAACGCTAGATGGCATATGATGTTTCTAATCGAAAGAACAGTAACTTCGTTTTGCAATTTAATAATCAACGTTTTTGTTATTCAATCAGCTAGATGATATAATTTTTTCCAATAACAATTATTATCTAAGAGCACTCGACAACGAAGTCTAACGAATTATTCCATTCATGCACTTCCTCCGATTTGCAGATAACTTTTTTTTCCAGTAAATGAGTCAGTGTCTCGATTCATAATTAAAACCTTTTTATCTTCACGCGACGATGAATGGATTAGAATTTTGCTATCTCATTTTAATTATCTGGAATATTTTGCTCTTGACTGATATTTCGTGCCTTAATTAACAGGTGCGAAGTTCATGTAATTTCTACTCTTTCTCAAATTGTTCATACCGACACTGACTTCGCAACCACCCTATGTACCTAACTGTTGCGTACGATCATTATAAATCTCAGTTCTATAATCTTCTCCTAAATATGTGAGGATCGAACTGTATCTCAACAATCGCATCTAACACCCACTCCATCAGGGAGAATCCATTACACGAAAGCAATTAGTAATATATCGCTGTCAAGAAATAGTGTTACGTTTCAATATATCGTGCACGCTGGGTTCATTAAATATCAATGCCTCGGCGGCAATTAATCACGCATCGATTCTCACAGATAATCGATTGGCAATATTGTTAGATGCACAGATCGGTGGAGAAAGGTGTCAGCTATGAACGCGATCCAAAGATGTTCATGTGAAAATTCCTGACTTACTATAGCGATGTTTAGAATTCGATTGATAAAAAGGACAATCTATTTTTGGATGTACGATGTGAAAATAATAATTTTGAGTTGCTGCAATATACTTTACAAGGTTGGTGTTATAGCACAAGTTTTGAAATAGCAGCAGTGTTTTGTTAAAGGAGTATATATATAATATTAGTTATTATATTAATAACTAAATTAAGGAATTTAGTTATTAATTAAGTTTTTAGTTATTAATTTAGTTATTAGAATTACTAAATATAATATAATATTTAGTAATTCCTAATAAAGGAACATTTAATAAACATTAAATAGTAGTATTTCCAGGACAGAAAATTGCTGAAAATTGCTTAACAATACTTTCACGGTAACTATACAATAAAATATATATAGCTTGTATTAGTTATTCAATAACTAATAGCTGTAAAAAATGAATATCAATAGATAGGAACGTATAGAGTGAACGTCGATAATTCTAGCAGAGTTGGCTGGTTCTCTTGAACTTTCGATGACACACATAGTTCACCGATCGGACATTACCATTATCTATCTTTACATTACGTTTTACGATAGTTCTTTTATATTCTCCCGCCAATGCCAATAAGGATAAGACGTAAAGTTTATGGCCGCTCTTGGAAAATGAGGTAATTTCCTCTTTAAGACAGAAAATCTGCGAAGTACTGTAACAAAAGTAAATATTGATGAATAGGTGGAGCCAAGTATAAAAAGAAGGACAAATTCCAACATGTTAACGTGTCTAGTCACAATCCTCTCCAAGATCAACTCTAAGCGGAGATCGTTAACACCATTCCTGAATAATTATGTTTCATATTCTGGAATTAATATTACGTTTATTCTTTATTGTTGGAGCAAGAAAAAGATTAAGATTATTAAAAAGATTAATTAGCGTTTGTATGGACAATGTTTGGGCTATGCATGTTTTCTCAGCTACAAAATGACTTAAGGCATAGTTTGATCATTTTTCTTTAATTTAATTGAGGTTTAATAGAAACGATACGTAGGTTGCGGTGTCGATCTTGCGATGTCACTGTTGCGATCGAATATTACGAATTATTACACAATGACGTAAAATTAGGGATTTTGAAGAAAGAAGAATCCCAGGTTGAACTTTTCGAGACACAATTGACCACTCCCGAACTGTTCATTGTGATATTAACTTCTTGACATACAAATAAAACGGAATTTGATGCATCCGAAAAATACTATTTAACACGTTCCGTGCCGAGCTTTTTTTACTCGAATCTTCACACTTTGATATTTTACTAAAACTTGATGTATTACGTGCAATTATTAATTCTCGTACACATAACAACGTAACAAAAACTTATCAACGCCCATTCTTGCGGTGGAAATTGATTCTTCGGTTCTAAATTTCTTGTAAACAATTTGTTCAGTTCACTAAGTAAACATGCAAGCGTGTACCATCGATGGTACACGTGGCACGGAACGTGTTAACTAGAGAATGCTTTATTTTGAAATTTGGATTACCGATGCGTGGGGATGTAACATTGGAATTGGTACTGTCGAGAAGGTGGCAGGGTGGGGTATCTTGAACATTATAAACAAACCAGAATCGACGCACGAGCGAAGCAACCGACTAATGCAATAATAAACGGTTCTTGACGAGTTAGACTCGTCAAAGTCTACAGTGGCATATGAAATCAATGACGACCCCAATTCCTCATTGTATGTCAAGGGGTCTTACGCCTTAGCGTCAATGTTACATTTTGAAATCCTTGCAAGTTTCATACATGTATGTGTTCCTGTAGCATGAGCATAATAACACTGTATCGGTTGAGCACTCTGGTCATTGCACAATCCCAAAAATAATTCATAACATTACGGTGTTCCATGTAATCGAGTGAAAATTTAAAAGTTAAGTTATACGACATCGATTGCGTTCTTACATCGATCGCAGATCCTAATAAAATTAGGATGACACGGTAGATCAACGTGCAAATTAATTTTCAATAAAGGTTCAATAGGGCCTGTCCGTTCTTCTGTCATCTCTGGCCCCGCTGCCATAAATGGCAGCTCTCCTTCGCGCGAGGAGCACTTTGGCCATCGCACAATCCCAAAAATAATTCATAATATTACGGTGTTCCATTTTTAATCGAGTGAAAATTTAAAAGTTAAGTTATACGACATCGATTGCGTTCTTACATCGATCGCAGATCCTAATAAAATTAGGATGATACGATAGATCGACGTACAAATTAATTTTTAAGTCGGAGCAAATAATTCCGTTAGCCGCACATGCGTGACGCGGCAGTCAAAGCGTTAACAGTGGCAACGATCGAGATTTTCAGCGGTTCCCTTAACGAGTGAGCGGCCATTATGCGCAGAAGCGAGTAACGTCGCGGAGTCGTCAAATCGAATGTTTGAGCATGGTTTCCTAATAAAGGCTCAATAGGGCCTGTCCGTCCTTCTGTCATTTCTGGCCCCGCTGCCATGAATGGCAGCGCTCCTTCGCGCGAGGACACGAACCGTCGTCGCTCGGCCGCGTGCGTCAGTGTTTGCGCTCGCGTTAATTTGTTTGAGAGCTCCGCGGAGCATTGAATGGCGGTCGCTTTTACAGACTCGAGCATCGCGCACATTATCTGGTCGGGGCAGTTTGCGAAATACATCTCGTCTCCGCGACGACGG